ACGACAAATTAGAAAACAGACAGTTGGGAATAGAAGAACCACACGGAACCTAACAACTACTCCGGAAAAAAGCACACCACAAAAAGAAAACCTTCCCCCAAAATGCAACGACAGTAACTTGGAAGAACTTCTGAACCTTCCAGAGAGAGAATTTAAAATTGCCGTGATTAAAAAAAATGACAGAACTCATAAAGGAAAACAATGATCAGAAGAAGGAAATTGAGTCCCTAAAGAGGGAAAACAATGGTCAGAAGAGTGAAATTGAGTCCCTAAAGAGGGAAGCAAAAGAAACGCAGGAGATCAAAGAATTAATGGAGGAACTAAAGAACTCTGGGAAACGCAATGAAAGCAGAATAGATGAAATGGAAGAACAAATAAGTACTCTTGAAGACACAGAAATAAAAATAACCAAAACAGAAAAGGAAAGAGAAGTACGAAGGAAAAAGAACGAAGAAAGACTTCGGGAACTATCTGACTCCATGAGGAAAGGAAATATAAGAGTTATAGGAATACCAGAAGGAGAGGAGAAAGATGTAGGAACAGAGAAAATATTCAAAGAGATAATTGAAGAGAACTTCCCAAATGTGAAGAATGAAGCCAACATTACACTAATACCAAAACTGAACAAGGACAACACAAAAAAGGAAAACTACAGGCCAATCTCCCTAATGAGCACTGATGCAAAAATCCTCAATAAAATTTTAGCTATCAGAATCCAACAATGTATCCATAAGATAATTCACCACGACCAAGTAGGATTCATGCCAGGGACACAAGGATGGTTTAACATCCGAAAATCAATCGACATTATCCAACACATCAACAAAAAGAAATATAAAAACCATATGATAATATCAATAGATGCTGAGAAAGCTTTCGACAAAGTGCAACACCCATTCATGATAAAAGCCCTTGAAATTCTTGGGATACAAGGAACGTACCTCAACATCATAAAGGCCATCTATGACAAGCCAACAGCCAGTAACATTCTCAATGGTGAAAAGCTGAAAGCAATTCCATTAAGATCTGGAACAAGACAAGGATGTCCACTCTCACCACTGCTTTTCAATATAATACTGGATGTCCTAGCCAGAGCAATAAGACAAGAGAAAGACATACAAGGAATCCAAATACGAAAAGAAGAAGTCAAACTATCACTATTTGCAGATGATAAGATAATATACATAGAGAACCCCAAAAACTCCACAGAAAAACTAATTCAATTCATCAATCAGTTCAGTAAAGTGGCAGGATACAAAATCAACACGCAAAAGTCAGTAGCCTTCCTATACACAAACAATAAATCTGAAGAAGAAGAAATAAAAAAACCCATCCCTTTTATTATCGAAACAAAAAAAAAAATCAAATATTTGGGAATAAATCTAACAAAAGAGGTAAAGGACCTATACAAAGAAAACTATAAAACACTGTTAAAAGAAATAGAAGAAGACACAAAGAAATGGAAAGACATCCCCTGCTCATGGATTGGAAGAATAAACATTATTAAAATGGCCATCCTACCAAAAGCAATATACAGATTCAATGCTTTTCCAATCAAAATCTCAATGTCATTCTTCAAAGAAATAGAACAATTATTGATGAAATTCATATGGAATCACAAAAAACCCCGAATAGCAAAGCTCTCCTGAAAAAAAAAAGAAGGGAATGGAGGCATCACACTCCCAGACTGCAAACTATACTACAAAGCCATAATCATCAAAACTGCATGGTATTGGAACAAGAACAGACAAACAGACCAATGGAATCGAATAGAAAATCCAGAAATAAACCCACAGATTTATGATCAACTAATCTTTGACAAAGGAGCAAAGACTATGCATTGGAGCAAAGAAAGTTTGTTCAATAAATGGTGCTGGGAAAACTGGGTCGCTACATGCAAAAGAATGAAGCTTGACCACTACCTCACACCATATACAAAAATCAACTCAAAATGGATTAAAGTACTAGACATAAGACCTGAAACCATAAAATACATAGAAGGAAATATAGGCGAAACACTACATGATATGCACATCAAAGACATCTTTACAGACACATCACCCAAAGCAGTGATAGTGAAGGCAAAGATAAACAACTGAGACTACATCAAATTAAAGAGCTTCTACACAGCAAAAGAGACAATAACAAAAACAAAGAGAAACCCCACCAACTGGGAGAACATTTATGCACCCAACACTAATGATAAAGGACTGATCACACAAATCTACAAAGAGCTGATGAGACTCAACCACAACAAAGAGAATAATCCAGTCAAAAAATGGGCAGAAGAGCTAAAAAGAAACTTCTCTGAAGAGGAAGTGGAAATGGCCAACAGGCATATGAAAAAATGTTCAACATCACTTGTAATCAGGGAAATGCAAATCACAACTACCATGAGATACCATCTTACACCAGTGAGAATGGCACATATTAAAAAATCTAGCAACAACAAATGTTGGCAAGGGTGTGGAGAAAAAGGAATTCTTCTGCACTGTTGGTGGGAGTGCAAACTGGTCCAACCACTATGGAGAGCTGTGTGGAGATTTCTGGACCTACTAAACATAGAGCTTCCATATGATCCAGCAATTCCACTCCTAGGTATTTACCCAAAGGACACAGAAACATCAATTCCAAAGAACACCTGCACCCCTATGTTTATAACAGCTCTATTTACAATAGCTAAGCTTTGGAAACAGCCCAAATGCCCCAAAATAGATGACTGGATCAAGAAGATGTGGTACATATATACCATGGAATATTACTCAGCATTCCAAAAAGATAAACACATGCAATTTGCAGCAACATGGATGGCACTGGAAGGAATCATGCTCAGCGAAATAAGCCAGAAAGAAAAAGAAAAATACCAGATGGTCTCACTCATAGCAGGAATCTAGAATACTTAAATAAGGGACCAGGAAAATGAAAAACTGTAAGAAAATGAAAATCAAAATCACCAAAAAACTATGAACCAGAGACAGTTTTTGGGGAGTGGGGGGTGGGAGCGGAGGGATTGGGGTCAGAATGGGGGGATTGCAAATGTATGGGGAATATAAAAATAAAATTTATTATTTAAAAAATAAGTTAGACACATAGTTAAAAAAAAAAAAACAAATACTGAAGGAAAACTGGAAAATTCACGAGTTTGTGAAAATTCAACACAGATTCTAAAATAACCAATGGATCAAAGAAGCCACAAGGGGAATTGAAATAGAAAATACTGAATAAAAACTAAGCACAGAAAATCAAATTTTATGGGACATCGTGAAAGCAGTGCTAAGGGAGAAATTACAATCTTATATGCTTACTTATATAAAAATGTAGGAAGACCTCAAATCTACAAACTAACCTTGCAACTTAAGGAACAAGAGAAAGAGAACAAACTAAACCTACAGCTAGCAGAAGGGAGGAAACAGAGATAGAGTGCAGAAAAACAGAGAAAACTAGTGAAACCAAAACCTAATTCTTTGAGAAGACTGAAAAAAATGGCAAACCTTAATTAGACTAAAAATAAATGTATAAAGAACGATAGAAACAGAAAATCACCATTAGTAAAAGTTTAAGAAAAAAAATTTGTACAAACTCAAAAGTATTCCTCAAAGTATTTACTAGTTACAAAGGGGGGAATAGTAAACATACAGTGGGGAAACCTGGCAAACAATACCTTAATCAAGTGATCATTGTAAACAACAATAGTAATAAGATATATGGACATCATTTAATCCTGGATAAGGTACTCTGAGAAGGACATATCAGGATTCAAATCCTTGGGCTTGGCTTGTCTGACTCTAAATATCAAACTGTTAATCATTAAATTATGACACCTATTTTCATTTAAGAAGCTTATACATGGATTCGTATGGAAAAAAGAAAGGAACTATTATTAGCCTATCCCATTCATTTGTGAAATATACCCAGTTTTGTACAGTTACTCAAAAACGTATAATTAGTGAGATAAAACAGGACCCAAGTAAGGCTAATACATAAAAGAAAAAAATGGAATGGAACTATGTTTTCCTCGAAGCTATTATGATAAAAAAATAAGATCCTACCCTCCATCTCCCCCACAAAAAAATCTTAATATGTACCTATGGAAGAAATACTCCCCCCAAAATTTAATGTAAATGTCACTAGGTGGTTAAGACGCAAAGCTGGAATATGAACCTAAACCTCTATGACTCTAAGGACAACATTATTTTCAGTATCAGACAATGACTTGAAGGAGTAAGACTGAAACAAATGAAGAAAAACAGGGGGAGCACAGCTTCACAAAATGTGTGAAGCAACACAATCCACATGAGGAAATTATACTTGCACATGACTGAAAGTAAAAGTAGTTAATTAAGATATAAAGCCTCGACCAATTTGTAACATATCTCATATTTGTTGACTGAGGTAATTGGGATTCAACTCCAAACTAAAAAGTGACATTATTAAGATGTTAATTATTTCTATCAGTATAAACTGAATAAAGTTATGGATGTGAGAATTAAAATTTCTTGTCCTGAAATAATTTCAAAGGCTATAATTTCATTTATTATGTTTAAATCTCTAAGGTTGCCTTTCCATCCAACGTCAAAAGTTGTATAATCAAAAGGTAAAAAATCATCTATACTATCCCAATCACTTTAATTTAATAATAGGAAATAAGAAATTCAGAAAGTTGGGGGGAAACTTTAAAAACAATACTAGTGTAATAATTATATAGTATATAGTATATAGTTTTATATAGTAAAAACAGTCATGCAAACATACAAACATTGAAATAAATACCTCTATCTCTTCAAGGGAATAAAATAGTTCAGTATATAATATTCATATGATATTAGAAGCTTTTTGAATGTTGTAATATTATAAACATTAAAATACAGATTACTATAAAAGTACAATCAACATTTAGCATATTTAATAGAATTTCTATATTTTAATCAAATGCATGTATGAGTATATAAGTGTTTGTGCGCTGTAAACAAAAATTTTAGTAATCTCTAGTTATCAGTTACCTTTGCAATAATAACTTCTTTCTTCAGAATCTTCATAGCATAATATTTCCCACTTGCTTTTTCTCGAACCAAAATAACTTTTCCAAAAGTGCCTTTACCTAGCAGTTTCAAATAGTCAAAATCATTCATTGTCTGAAAAAAATTGAAAAATAATATTAAATATTTGATGCAATTTATTTGTAAACATATATGTATATGTTTGTAACATCGACATAAAAGCAAATTTTACCATTGTCTAAGCACCCGGACATTGACTGCCTCGTGCAATCATGAAAGCTGGAAATAATTTTAGCTATTTCAAACCCTGGAGAAAGTTACTCAAAACCTAGAATTTCTTGGAGCCTCCCTGGTGGTGCAGGCGGTTGAATACAGCGCTGTGAAGTGGTCTGCAGCCTCTGCAATCTCTTAGCCTCTGCCGGGTGAGATCCCGGCAGGCCTGGGAGATACCCACAGGGCGTGGCAGACCTCTCCCATCTCACCAACTGCTTCCCTCATCAGTGTATTTCAGTAGGTCCATCTGTTCTGCTATACATTATGTCTCTGATGAATCCTCTAGCCCACCTCTGGCCTACACCCCAGTTCTGTATGCATAAATAAGTAACAATAAATCTTGAGAACAAAACAAAACCTAGAATTTCTTAGCTGGTCAAATTAGCAGTCAAGTATATGGGCAAAGGAAAAATAAAATCATATTCACACACTTTCAAGGACTCATGTTTTTAAGAATTTAGTAGTGCCACTACCTCCAGACATTGTGATAACAAAAATGTCCCCCCAAAACACTCCTAAATTCATCTAAGGCAGCAATACTTTTGAAGGGAAATATTTGAGAATATATTCTAGCAAAATAAAGATGTACCCTCAAAGAGATAGATGTGTGTGTAAGCTGAAAACAATCTTGGAGAGGAGTGAAAAGAAATCTAAGAAAGACAGCTGTACAACTTCTCAGAAAGCAACTTATAAATACAGAACAGGAAACCAGGAAGCGCTAAGAATGTATTTAATTAATTTGCAAACTGCACTTTCATTTCTCATTCCCATTTCTGAGTCCCAAAATTTTTCCAAGCAGAACCTACTATTTGTTCTCTATTATCCTCTATGTTATGTTTCCTTCTCACCTGTATCTATTAACATTCTTCACAAACTTACAAAATTTTTATATTGCTTGTCCACTAATGTGCCTATCTCACCAGTTTTCCATTTTTGTGGACTTCTCCCTTTTGAAAAATCAGTTACGTTTCAATGGGCTTTTAGATGAAAGGAGAGACAACACGGTATGATCAATTCAACATTTTGAACTTAAATTCAGTTTATTTTTGATATGTGCCATTCTTACTGGTGTTATCTCAATGTGGTTTTGATTAGCATTTCCCTGTTTATAAGGGATGTGGAACATTTATTCATTTTGCATTTCCTCTTTGGAGAAATATCTTTTAAGTTCTTCTGCCCATTTCTTGACTCAATTGTTTGTTTTTGTTGAGTATTGTGAGTTCTTTGTATATCTTTTTCTACATTGCTGGTTGGAGTGCAAACTGGTCCAACCACTATGGAAGCTGTCTGAAGGTTCTTTACTTTAGTCTACTAAAAATGGAGCTACCATAAGACCCAGCAATTCCACTCCTAGGGATCTACCCAAAGGACACAAAAACACTGATCGAACGGAACACCTATACACCTATGTTTATTTTTTTTAATTTAATTTATTTTTTTAATATTTTATTTTACATAATTCTTACATCATTTTTCATCTTTGTACAAAGTATGCATTTTCATTTTGGGTATATTCCCCATACAATTGCACCCACCCCCTTATTTTGACTCTAGTTCTTCCTCTTCCCGCCCCTCCCCCCCCATAGTGTGTCTCTGGTTTATAATTGCTTGTTGATTTTAATTATTACTTTGTATTGATTAGTGTTTTTCCTGGTCTCTTATTTAGGTTTTCTAAATTCTTGCTATGAGTGAGACCATCTGGTATTTTTCTTTTTCTTTCTGACTTATTTCGCTGAGCATGATCCCTTCTAGCTCCATCCATGTTGCTGCAAACAGCATGTGTTTATCTTTTTGATTGCTGAGTGATATTCCATTGTGTATAGGTGCCACATCTTCTTGATCCAGTCATCTATTTTTGGGCATTTGGGTTGTTTCCATAGCTTAGCTATTGTAAATAGTGCTGCTATAAACATAGGCGTGCAGGTGCCCTTTGGAATTACTGTTTCTGTGTCATTTGGGTAAATACCTAGGAGTGGAATTGCTGGATCATATGGAAGCTCTATGTTTAGTAGGTCAAGAAATATCCGCACAGCTCTCCATATTGGTTGGACCAGTTTGCACTCCCACCAGCAGTGCAGGAGAGTTCCTTTTTCTCCACAACCTCGCCAACATTTGTTGCTGCTTTTAAAAAAGCAACATTTGTGGGCCTCCCCTGGTGGCGCAGCGGTTGAGCGCTGGGCTGTGAAGCTGCCCGCAGCCTCTGCAGCGCCGGTTCTATCCCTGGCCGCGAGAGAGGGTCCCACAGGCGTGCAGACCTCTCCTGCCGCCCGCTGCTCCCCTCAGCAATGTACTTTGGTCCTTCTGCCTCTTCTGCTCCCTGCTCTGGCTCTGGTGAATTCTCTCACCAGAGAGAATTCTGACTGTACCCAGTGCTTGTACAAATAAATAAATAAATCTTTAAAATAAATAAATAAATCAACAATTTTTTTTTTTTTTTAATATGTGCCATTCTCACTGGTGTAAGATGGTATCTCATGGTAGTTGTGATTTGCATTTCCCTGATTACAAGTGATGTTGAACATTTTTTCATATGCCTGTTGGCCACTTGCACTTCCTCTTCAGAGAAGTTTCTTTTTAGCTCTTCTGCCCATTTTTTGACTGGATTATTCTCTTTGTTGTGGTTGAGTCTCATCAGCTCTTTGTAGATTTTTGTGATCAGTCCTTTATCATTAGTGTTGTGTGCAAAAATGTTCTCCCAGTTGGAGGGGTTTCTCTTTGTTTTTGTTATTGTCTCTTTTGCTGTGTAGAAGTTCTTTAATTTGATGTAGTCCCAGCTGTTTATCTTTGCCTTCACTGTCACTGCTTTGGGTGATGTGTCTGCAAAGATGTCTTTGATGTGCATGTTATGTAGTGTTTCGCCTATATTTCCTTCTATGTATTTTATGGTTTCAGGTCTTATGTCTAATTCTTTAAATCCAGACACCTATGTTTATTGCAGCACTATTTAAAATAGACAAAACCTGGAAACAACCCAAATGCCCTAAAATAGATGACTGGATCCGGAAGATATGGTATATATATACACAATGGAATATTATTCAGCAATCAAAAAAAGATAAATTGATGTCATTCACAGCAACATGGATGGAGTTAGAAGGAAATATGCTCAGTGAAATAAGCCAGAAGGAAAAAGAAAAATATCAGATGGCTTCACTGATAGCAGGAATATAGGGGAACCAAATAAGACATCAGTGCAAAAAAATAGTAACAGTACAAAACACAACAAAGCAAAAACAGACAATTATATATCAGAGACATCCTGCAGGGGAGGAGGAGGGAGAGGGATCAGAGGGCAGGAGGGAGAAGCACAGGGGACTGAAGTGATGGTGCACGGGTGCATTGGTAAAGGAAACTATGGGGCCTACACCTGAGGGGGTGGGGGGGAAGCAAATATTGTTTAAAAATGAACAATCATGTAAAAAATAAAAAAGAAATTAAAAAATAAAAATACACTTAGCTCAAAAAAAAAAATAAATAAATTCAATTTAAAGGAGTCCATGAGTAAGAAATTAAAGATCTGCCTTTTACTCTACAGACAATGAAACGTTACTGAAGATTTTTCATGCTTTTTATATCAGAAATGTCATAAGCTAATGACCCCACCTTCTACCTTAAACAAGAAAAAGAGAAAATTAAAAAAAAAATAGAAGGAAATAAAAAAATTGAAGCATAAATCAATTCAATTTCAAAAAAAAGAAACACTACAAAATACAATTTAGCAATGCAATTGCTAAATCGCTAGCCAGATTACTCAGGAAAATAAAGAGGGCAAAAGTGCTCAATATTAGGAAAGAGAGAGGCAACATTAGTACAGATTCTACAGATATTAAAAGGATCGCAAGAGAATGCTATAAACAACTTTATAATAAAATCAACAACTTACATGAGATGAACAGATTTCTTGAATGTTTCAACTGTGAAAACTCACTCAAAAATAAATAGATAACTTGAATATCTCTGAATACCTACTATATTGTAGAAATTGAACAGTCTCCTTCCCTTGAGAAAGAACACCAGAGAAAGTGGGCTAAGAGATGAACTTCTTGAGAGCTCCTGCCCCTTTCATAGTTGCTCAATAGGACTTTATTTTGTAAAACAAATAAATTTGTGTTGTAAAATTATGTGGAATTTTTCTTTCCTGACCAGATATGCTAAAACCATGCATTATTTTTTTGAGAGTCTTATTGCAATCCTCTCCAATAATATGTTCATATTTTAATCTAATTTTTGAGCCTGTCTTTTTTTTTTACTCTAGTGGCAGACCTCTCCTGTGGTGCCTGCTGCTACTCTCAACAGTGTATTTTGGTCATCTGGCTGTTCTGCTCCCTGCTCTGTCTCTGGTGAATCCTCTTACCCTCCCGCACCTCTGGCCTGTACCCCAGCTCTTGTATAAAAATAAATAAATCTTTAAAAAAGAGAACTCATTTAAAATAAATAAATAAGTAAATAAAAATTAGGTAGAATTTTGATTTTCACTTGGCTATTATAGATCCTTGTAGGTTGTGCCACTTCACATTCCTGACAGGGCATAGAAAAAGAATGGCAATGGCAGCTTGGCAGAACTAGTTCAAGCACTTATTAAGTCTTCTAGTCAATTTCCTTTGAAATATCATTATTTATGGGGGGCAGTGGTTTACAATACTGTATATGATACAGAAAAATAGGTTTATAACTCTACAGTTATACATGCTACCACAAAAACATCCATTTACCTTTACCATAGACTATTGGGACTTCTCCACACTTTATTTCCACTCTTCCCCTGCCCTATCCCATTAGCCTAATTCTGCAGTGACATTTCTAGATTTTTGAAACAGCACCTTTCACTTTAAACAGAACAGTGCTTAAATGTGTTTGAAAGATCTTTGGTATTTTCTCTCTACCACCTGTATCTTTTCCTTTCCAAGAGAACTTTTTATTTATATAACTACTTATTTTCTTACATCATTGCTCATTTCTGTACAATACTGATTTCTCCCCTCAGGTGTAGTCCCCATAGTTACCCCACCACCACAGCACCCATGAACTATTGCCATAGTCTCTTATGCTCTTCCTAGAGAATATTGAAGCATGCAGAGCAAATACTGTGGAACTACTCTGCAGCTAAGGTATGTAACCACTTGCGTGTTCCATGCAGAAGAGTTTAGGAAAACTCTCAGCATCGCTAAGGTAATAGTAACTATTTACTTTATTCTCCTGCCCAGTTTTTTATATATATAAAATTACTTAACAGAAAAAAAAATTCCATATTTTCCCGTTTTACATCCTTCAAAATATTTCCTTCTCTCATTCAAAATTCTGGCAAATTTCCATATTAATTTCCACATTTCTATCATCCAACAAAAAGTATTTCTAGCTAGTATTTCTAAGCTTCTCACTTTCATCCTCTAACATCCTCAACAGTACCTTATTATTAATCTTTTTTATTCACAAGAATTTTAAGAACTCCACAGAATTAAACAGGGTATAGCTTGTTGCGGAAAAGAGCAGTTTATAAAAGGGATTAATTGGAACCTGATTTTAAATTTACAACCACAGTCAAATTTCAAATTAACTATGCACATGAGCCCATGCAAAAGAAACTTCATTTCTAAGTAATTGATAAAGCTAGATTGTGTTTTTATTTTTGCAATAACTAAGGAACAAGATGGCTTAAGAAGCTGGCTTCAGAAAATGCAAAACTCTTAATCACTGTACTAATACAAATTATATGGAAAATTACCTTAAAAATTACTGTTTTTCTACCTGAGATTTACAATCTACAATACCAAATATATTTTAACATTATAAATGGCATGTCCATCTATCTTGAACATATACCTTTAATCTTAAAATATGATTTTTAACATATGGAAGTTGCTTTTCAATTTTTATAGCAATGAAAATCAATTAAAATTTCCCATACACATATAAATTAGCATGTATTATTCTGGTGCACTGAGGGAAGGAAAAGTTTGTGCTCCTGACTGGTTCAAGAGTCACTATAGAGGATATCATCAAATAAAAGACCATTATTTCCAAGATTGTTCATTGCTGACATTAAGTAAGACTAGGGTATTACCAAGAAAGTGAACCAGAGTCACTTCTGCTTCTGCTTTCAGGAGCATACAGAATGCCAAATGAAAGAGGACTTAATCATTAAGGGAAAATATTTAATTTCAAAGTTTCTAAAATGGTATTGAAAAGAATAAGGAAAAATGTAAATTATGGGCCTCCCTGGTGGCGCAAGAGCTCAAGATAGCACTATCAAGCTATTGGCAGTCACTGCAGCAGGATTTTGATCCCAGCAGGTGTTTGATCCCAGGGAGCAACACACATGGCACTGCAGACCTCTCTGGTCTAACCTGCTGCTCCCCTTAGCAGCGTATTTCAGTAGATCTTCCTGTTCTGCTCCCCAGTCTCTCTGGTGAATCCTCTCACCCCCCACACACCTCTGGCCTGTACCCCAGTACTTGAATGCATAAATAAATAAATCTTTAAAAATGCAAATTACAAAGTAGTATGATGGCATATCAGTCACAATGCCCTAAGAAGTCCTATCAACATTCAGTGAATGCTCAGCCACAGAAATAATGGGACTCAATTTACTGGGTTTTAATTACAACAGGTATTTCAGATTTACCTGAATAAACACAACTCACACCCATGTATTTCTATATTTTGACTGGCTGACATCTTTGCAAAGGGCAGTTTTTAACATATTTCTTCTACATATATAACTGTTTTGTGTAGGGTAATAAGCTATTGTATTTACCTTTCTTTTATGATGAGTTGTAGAAGCATCCATCTCTTCCTCCCCTATATTATCAATTTGTGAAGTTGGACTACAATTCATTCTCTCCTCTTCTTGCCTCTGAAGTCTGTCTGCTACAGCCTGGATGGCTTCTGTCCATTCTTCCCTATAGAAATAAGCAAAAGATCCCATAAATAGAAGATGATAAACAAATCAAATATAGCCCATTTATAAAATATGAAACCAGTACAACCTATTCCTGGGTAATACACACACACACACACACACACACACACACACACAAACATATTCATCCTTATTCCAAGAAATAAATCCTGAAAGCAATTTATATTAGAGGCCTATCATTAGCATTTATTATTATTAGATATATAAATGAGAAAATAAGGAAAGGATTATAAGACAACAACTAATACTATTAAAAATAGTCAAATTTTAATTGTAAACATTTTAGCTATAAATTGACTCACAAACATTTGCTGCGCATTTTATTTAGTCATTAAAAGAACCATTATCAAACTCGGCTTTTGAACAGTTGTGATATAATATCACAGAACATTTATTTTAACATAAACGTGAAAATCAGCTTGTTGGTTTCTTTTTAAAAAGTCTGTTAAACTTTAGAATAATTGGATGAAACCTATATATCAATTTGGAGAAAATTTCCACTTTAAAAATTCCAATCTATGAACATGGTATAGGCCTCAATTTATTTAGTTCTTTAATTTACAAATGCAATGTTTTACAATTTTCTGTGAAAGTCTTAACTATAATTGAATATATTTCTAAGTATGCTTTCATGATATTTTATAGAATTTTTTAAAAATTCATTTTTAAATTTGTTTGCTACTATTTAGAAATAGTTCCTTTTTTAGTATGTTGAGCTAGTACCTTGAATTCTTACTAAATGTATTTATTAGTTCTAGTAGTTTTTATTTTTTCTGTGTTTTCTATACATGCAACTATGCTGCCCACAAATAAGGGTAATTTTATTATTTCCTTTCCAATCGGTTTGCCTTTTACTTTTTCTTGCTTAGATCACCCAATCAGCACAGTGTTAACTAATTAGTAAGTGCAATTTTTGTTTTGTTCTAAGGTTAGATAGAAAGTATTAAGCCTTTCATCTTTAAGTGTTATGTCACTTGTAGGATTTTTAAGATATCCTTAATCAAGTTGAGTAAGTCCCCTTACATCCCTCACCAGTTCAGTGTTGTTTTTTTTTATCATGCTTATTCTTTTTTTTTCTTTTTTCATTTTTTAAACATTTATCATTTTTTACATTTTTTAGACAATATTTGCTTCCCCCCACCCCCTCAGATTGAGTCCCCATAGAATCTCCTTCCCCAAGGCACCTGTGCACCATCACCACAGTCCCCTGTGCTCCTCCCTCCCTCCCTCTGATCCCTCTCCCTCCTCCTTCCCTGCAGTATGTCTCTGGTTTATAATTATCTGTTTTTGCTTTGTTGTGTTTTGTACTGTTATTATATTTTTTACACTTATGTCTTATTTGGTTCCCCTATATTCCTGCTATAAGTGAAACCATCTGATATTTTCCTTTTTCCTTCTGGCTTATTTCACTGAGCATAATTCCTTCTAGCTCCATCCATGTTGCTGCGAATGACATGAGTTTATCTTTTTTGATTGCTGAACAATATTCCATTGTGTATATATACCATATCTTCTTGATCCAGTCATGTATTTTTGGGCATTTGGGTTATTTTTTTAAACCAAGGGTACTGAAATTTTGCCAAAAACTTTTTCTGAATCTATTGAAATGACCATGTAGTTTTTCCTCCTTTAATATTCCTCCTTTAATGTCATATTAAAGTAATACATTTTATCTGAATAATTTCCATATGGTAATGCAGTTTTGAAGTCTCAAGATAAACTCCAGTTGCTCATGATGCATTTTTAAATAAAATATTTGAATTTAATTGCCAAAATGTTTCTATGAATTCTGCATCTATATTCACAAGCATATTGGGAAATAGTTCTCATTTCTTATGATAGCTTTGTTGGAATTTAGAATTAAGGGATCGTTACAAAGTTGCCTAGGTTTTGGAACACAGGAATTATTTAAAGTTAGTAGGGAAATGGTCTTTCCTCCATTACTTACTGAAATAAATTTTATAGGCTTGGTAATATGTGTTCTTTAAATGTTTGACAGAAATTATCAATAAAGTCATGTGAGGAAGGATTTTTAGTTACTAATTCAATTGCATTCATTCATAGTTTGCTGTTCAAGTTTTCTAATTTGGATCAGTATTGCTAATTAATTTCTTTTCTCTCCTTTTTTTCATCAACAATATTCCAATACATATTTGAATTCCATCCTTTCTTTTTTTCCCTAAATAAATAGCTTTGGATTATTATTTTTCTATTTCAGCAATGTTTGATCTTGATTATTTCCTTCTGTTTGTTTTACATTTGATTTATTCTACTTTTATAGCTCTTTAAGATGAAAACTTAGGGCCTCCCTAGTTGCGCAAGTGGTTAAGCACAGTACTGTGAAGCTGTCCACAGCCTACAGCAGAAGTTCAAGCCCCAGATGGCCAGCGAGCTATCCACATGGCATGGCAGACCTATCCTGTCTCGCCCGCTGTTCCCCTCAGCAGTGTATTTCAGTAGATCTGCCTGTTCTGTTCCCTGCTCTGTCTCCGGTGAATTCTCTCACCCCCTGCACCTCTGGCTTGTACCCCAGTTCTTGTATGCATAAATAAATCTTTTTTAAAAAAAGATGAAAACTTAGGTTATTAACTTGCAGACTTATCAAATGCAGGCATTGAAATCTATAAACTTTCATCTAAGCACTTTGTTAATTACACACATCAAGACTTGATATGGTTTATTTTCATTATTATTTATGAATAATAAATTCATTAATTTAATGGGTCATTTGAATTTTGACCCAATGACTATTAGGAGGATTATTTTTTTTAGGACTCTGGCAAGATAGTGGAAGAATGAAGATGAAGGGAACTGTCTATTCACATATTTATAACAAAACAAAGTGAACAACCCCTGAAAGATAAACAGAATGCTACCACATATATCAGGTACACAGGTGATTATTACTCAAGGGATAGAAATTTTTAATTAGGGGCCTCCCTGGTGGTGCAAGGGGTCAGGGCACAACACTATGAAGCTATCTGCAGCCACTGCAACATGAGTTCAATCCCAGGCCAAGGAGGTGACTCACATGGTGCAGCAGACCTGTCCTGACTCAACTGCTGCTCCCCTCAGCAGTGTATTTCACTAGATCCACCTGTTCTGTTTCCCACTCTGTCTCTGGTGAATCCTCTCACCCCCACATCTGGCCTGTACCCCAGTTCTTGTATGCATAAATAAAAATCTTTCAAAAAAATAAATTTGTAATTAAATTGTATTTGCAGTGCTAGGGGACAGCAGAATCCATCAGAGAAAGAAGGGAAGCTGCTATACAAAAACCGTTACTGTAGTCAACTCAGGGACACAAGTCAAGATGAAGGTCTTAAGTATGAATCTGACTGCCTCTCCAAATGCCCCTTCAAGCTCCTCCTCTACAGATCCTCCTCCAGGCTACACACACATACCCCCAATGTGGTTAGAACCTAGCTTAAACACTCTCCAGGGTGTCTTTGAATCTGATTGGTCCATTTTGTTGGTTGGTAGCCAAGGGAGCTCCAATTAGATTGGAAGCTTTATCAATCCTATATTTGCATAATGCCGTGGATGGGCCAATCAGATTGGCAGGTTTCAATCTTATGTTTCTATAAAGCCATAAAGGGGGCTGGGGAGGTGGAGAACTGCATTAGTTGCTAATACTAGGAGTAGGGATAGGAGGGGGGGCCTCCAATTGCATGTTTGATTTGTACTGATCAAGCTCCAATCAAATTGGCCCATTCTTAATATATCATGGTCCCTGCCCAGAATGCTCCTACTTTGAGGTCAGGGCAGCCTCCTGGGCTCCAGGGCTCTAAGGAACTTAGTAGAGCTGGAGGCAAACTGCACCACATGCCCCTAAGCGCAGCTGTGTTTAATAATTTAGGGGACCCTGCTTCAAGGGTCCTGCTTCAGAATTAGAATGAAGCAAAGGTAAGAACAAATGATTGCACTTAAAGATGAGAATAAACAAAGAATCCAGGCAGAAGAAAGAGAAAAGCAAGTAAAAGAAAAAAGAAAAAAATACTTGAAGTGTTATCCGACTCCCTGAGGAAAGACAATAAAAAAAATGAGCATCCCAGTGGACGAAGAGAGAGAGAAAAGGTACAGAGAATTTGTTTTAAAAAAAATAAAGGAGAGGGAGAGAGATCAACATGGCAGCTAGGAAATGCTGAGATTAACTCCTCCCATAAAAACAAAGTTAATAGGAAGGAAAAGAGGCAGATCCCTGCAAAAACTAGGACATAGAACATAAACGGGACACTCTGGCAAACTGCCCAAAAAGGAAAGTTGCCATAAAAGAGGACAAAAAGAGAGGAAAGCTCAAAATCCTGCTACTCCCCCCACCCACAAAGCTAGTACACTCCAAACAATAGAAAGGAAACAACAAGAAGAAGAACAGACTACAGATCAAGCAGGACAGTAAGTGGAAAGTAACTACTGGAGGCCACCGCACCCATGAACAGGAACTGTGGAGAACCATGAGGGAATCACCATGGAGGTAAGCAAATTGTTCCAGGCACCATTAGAGGAAGATAAGGACTCCACAGGGAGACCTACAAATAGCCCAAGGCCAGCTGGTAAACTTGTGCTGAAAAGCACACCCACTCAAAAAGCATATGCGGATCTCAGCTGCCCAGGTCCCAGTGCCTGAGACCTAGGTTCGTGGGAGATACGTGGGAACCATCACTGAGGTGAATGACCCTCACTGAGTAACCAAAAACCAGGCGCTAGGGCACCAGGAGTAGGTTGCAAAAGGCGCCATTTTTGCGGACACTGAATTGTCCTACTCCCTGCATCCCAGATCTCAGGGCTTCAGAACTGAGACATGGGGCACAAAATTCCAGGTGTGAGATCCCCACGACGCATGGCACAGGGCAGACACAGCACCCCATGCCATTGAGCCATTCCACACCACCCCCACTCAGTTCCCCGGAGAGCCACGCGGAAAAAAAGCAAGCTCAGGAAGGATACTGGGAAAGATCTCTGGTGCCACCTAGAGATTAG